TAGCTAATGCTGGGGTTCACCCCGACTTAAGGTGAGAAAGCCAATCCTAAGTTTGTATGGGGTTGACGCGAATTATGTTATGCGTGGGTTCTAGCCTTATAAGTAATACTATCATCACAACGATCACGGATTCGGGAACTAATGCTAATCCGTGTAACCCAATCACTGAAACCATGGACGATCTGGGTCGGGGCAGGGGCTTAGGGAGTATCGAATCAGGGCAATGTGAAATTAACTATACAACCCTGACGAAGAGCTCGGCCACGAGGAGGTCGATGAAGTGAAAGAGTGTGCCTTTCCAACGGCGCTGGCGACTTCCTATTCGGAGAGCTTTGCGTCGCTCAGATCTTTGTCGAAACCGGTGTGGATCTCTGTGGACGCTGCTCTCTGTAGGCGTTGCTGGCACCTTTTGCCGTGGTGACTAGGACTGCCGCGCATTACAACAGTAATGGCATTTCTTGCAGCAGAACCCACCAAAATCAGTGCAATCGTGCACGGTGAAAGGGCATGCCGCGGCAGCGCAGCTGTGCCTATAGTTGTGCCAATGGAAGTAGTCTCCGGCTCGTGCTGCATGCAGGGGTTGGGTGGGCTTAGAATATCGAATCTTGTTCTAGGCCGGAGGGCTGGTATTCCTATAGTCTCGATCCATATTATATATATATATATATATATATATATATATATACATATATATATATATATATATATATATACGACCTGGCCTGGGGGAAGACCCAGAATTATTCCTGGCAGGGTTTAGGTTTTGGGGTTCGGGGTTTAGGGTATTTCTCCGGCTGAGCTCCACATAGGATTTCGGGTTTAGGGTTTCAGGGTTTTTTGTGGGGTGTAGGGTTTTGAGGGTTTGGGGTTTTCGGGTTCAAGTTTTAGGGTTTGGGTTAAGGGTTTTGGGTTTTAGGACCCCCGGAAAAAAAGGCATCCCAAACCCCCTAAATGCAAAGCTCTGGCGGAATGCTATTTGACCTGTAATCCATATACAAAGAATTCGGCCCTATCGAAACCCGAGCCCGAACCCTAGACCTTAAGCCCTAAACCTCGAAAGCTGTAGGCGCTAAAGGTTCGGGGTTTGGGGTTTAGGGTTCAAGGTTTTAGGGTTTGAGTTAAGGCTTTTGGGTTTTAAGACCCCCGAAAAAAAGGGCATCCGAAACCCCTACATGCAAAGCTCTGGCCGAATGCTATTTGACCATGGAAACCCGAGCCAAACTCTAGACCCTATGCCCTAAACCTCGAAAGCTGTAGGCGCTAAAGGTTCGGGGTTTGGGGTTTAGGGTTCAAGGTTTTAGGGTTCACGTTAAGGGTTTCAGGTTTAACCCCGGGATAACGGCATCCCAAATCCTAAATCCGAAGCCCTAGCCGAGCGAAAAACACTTAACCCTGCACTAGAACCCTAAGCCCTGAACCCTATATTTAGTACAAACTATATAAGACGAGGCTGGGCCATATCGAAACCCGAGCCCGAACCCTAAACCCTAAATCTCGAAAACTCGACCCATATATATAGCTATAATTTATTGAATTAACTATATTCCCCGATCTGGGAGCCCAGGCATACCGGCGATCATCATGCAGCAAGCCGGCCAGCACCTGCATCGCAGAAAGGATTAATTAAGGAGTATAGGGGATTAAGGGTTTTGTGTTCGGGATTGGGGGGTTCGGTGCACCACCATCTCCCAGCGATGCGCCGAACCCCCCAACGCCGAATGCATTAGGGTTTTGCGTTTAGGGATTTTGCACTAATGACCGGCCTATTATAAACCCAAATGACTCCAAAACAAGACCCTCACCCCTGATCCCAAAAAAAATGAAACATATCCCTATGCACACCCCGACATCCGAATTCTGAAACCTTTAACCCGACAGCCTATATGGGTTGAAGCGGCCTTGTGGCCAAGGCCGCCGCAGCCGCAAGAAGAGGCAGCCGCGCACGGAGATGCACCTGCGATTTCTGGATCTTGGCTCTAATTATACTATATAATATTATTATAAGTTTTATATCGATCCGCGGCTATAGCGTTATTCGGGACATGGGGTTTAGGGTTGGGCCTCGGGCCCGTGCTTTAAGGATGTGGGCTTTAGGGTTGGGTTGGGCCTCAGGCCTGGTTGTTAAGGATCTAGGGTCTAGGGTTGGGTTTGGGATTTAGGACTGTGTACGTTGGGCTTAAGCTAGGAATATTGGCGATTTCATAGTGGGTGGGGGGGTCGGGTTTGGGATTGAGGGTTTAGTTTGGAGCCGGGCAAGGGCCGGGATTTTGAACAAGTCGGGTTGGGGTCCGCCGCGAATATATATATATATATATATATATATATATATATATATATATATATATGGGTTAGGGCTTAGGGCTTAAGACAACCCCAATGGGACCAGGGTACCCCAAATTCGATTCGGGATTAGGGCTTAAGGAAAATGGGGGGGGATCCTATATTACAGCCCTTCGCACCTATAGCCTAGGACCTAGACTTATCCTACCTATCCCCTAGACCCTTGGGCCGGGGTGAGGGCTTAGGGCTTAAGACAACCCCAAATGGACTAGGGTACCCCAAATTAATTCGATTCGGGATTAGGGCTTAAGGAAAATGGGGGGGATCCTATAGAGGGTGAGGGCTTAGGGCTTAAGACAACCCCAATTGGACTAGGGTACCCCAAATTCGATTCGGGATTAGGGCTTAAGGAAAATGGGGGGGATCCTATATTACAGCCCTTCGCGCCTATAGCCTAGGACCTAGACCTATCCTATACCTATCCCCTAGACCCTTGGGCCGGGGTGAGGGCTTAGGGCTTAAGACAACCCCAATTGGAGTGGGGTTTGCCAAATTCGATTCGGGATTAGGGCTTAAGGAAAATGGGGGGGATCCTATCCTACATACAGCCCTTCGCACCTAAAGCCTAGGACCTAGACCTATCCTACCTATCCCCGAGACCCAACCCCGATTGGACTAGCGGACCCCAAACTCCGGGATTAGGGCTTAAGGAAAATGGGGGGATCCTATCCTATACAGCCCTTCAACCTAGCTAAAGCTATAGGACCTAGACCTATCCTACCTATCCCCTAAACCCTTGCATGGGCCGTGGGCCCGCAGACTGATGTGGGTCTGCATGTGCTCGGCTGCCATCTGGAGCGACTCTCGAATGCCCTGAAACTTGGCATTCAGCTCCAGGTCCAACTCATCACTCAGATGACGCTCCATCCATCCCATGAACGAGTGATGAGTGCAGTTCCGTGGCGATGCCCCTTGGGCAAGAGATCCTTGGCCTTGGACAGGGGTGGTCGATCCGGGCCGGGATCTGCTTTTGCCGGGCATTTGCCACAAAGCCGGGCCTTTTTGCTTCCTCATCCCGGAAGTTAGGAGGATCGTCATCGTCGGACGAGTCCCGCAGTGCTCGCTGAAGCTGGGGCATGGCGTCGCGGCCGAGTGCCTCAAGGTGTCAGCACTGCCCCACGCACGACCAACGGTGCGAACGTGCAGGCCAAGTGCTCCGATGGGTAGGAAAAAAACCCTGTTTAAGTCTGAAATAACACCCTCGAGTTCCGAAGCCCTAAATCCCGGAGTTATAACTAGAGCGAATAAGACCTATATAGGCTTAACGTCTCGCCCCCGGTCAGGGGTTGCCTATCTAGATCTCGAATCCCTACATTCGGCGCCCAACCTGAAACCTATAAGACTTTAAACCCGTCGGGATTCAGGATTCAGGGTTCAGGGCCCAGGGGCTTGGCAAGGGACAGCGTGCCCAATAAATAATATAGGAATTAGGCCTAGCTGCCTAGCTTATCCTCAATCCCAGCCCGATCCTAAACGGAACGCCGCATACCCAAGAATCCAGATCATGCTCCAAAACCAAAACTGTTCTGAATACCCAGAACGAAACTCAACCCCAACCATATATTGGAAGACCCGAGTTAACGACAGTTAACCCCTATGCCAGCTAAAACCCGAGTTAAGGACAGTCAACCCCAACCCTATGCCACCTAAACCCGATGCAAGGGAGACCCCTACAGGAAAGTGAGCCCCTATATATGCCACATAAACCTAACGAAATTCAACTCCAACCCTAACCCTTGGATCCTCGGCCTGTCCCGAGGCGAAGAAAACGGGTGGCCGACATGCGTGCAAGCATGCGGAGAAAAATAACACCTAGACGAGCTTAAGCTGGGGTTACATTCATCTATTGAGCTTTATATCTGATAGCAGAGGGTTCGGGATTTAGGGATCAGGGCTCATGTTGATTAACATGACGAGCCTGCTGAGGCCGGCGGCTTGCGTGCGAAGTTGGTTTACACCCTTACTTACTGTATATATATGCTGAACAACCCGGCCCATGTATCTTAACAGAGCCCTGCATAATGTCAGTTTATGAGCATTGATACCACTTAGGAACACATAATGTCAGTTTATGTAGCATAGAATGTTACTTATATAAGGGGCCCAAAATCAGGTCACTTGGATGAGTTTTCGTAGGGTTAGAATATGTGCATCCCAGGGAGGTTGTTTGGAAGGCCCTGGCAGTTACTAAGTCCCCTAAACCCTAAACCCTAAGCCCTTACAGAATCCCTATAGATCCCTTTAAAGGGGCCCTTAAGGAACCGCTTATAATTACTAAGTCCCCCGACCCTCCAAGCAGGAGGGTGGGATAGTGGTGACCAGGGAGGTGATGATGTTGTTGAAGGTGCAGATGGCGGGGGTTTAGGGTTTAGTGTTTAGGGTCAAAGTGAAAGAACGACTTTGATGATGGTAGCGATGGCGATGGGAATGGGATAACATACTTGTCGTCATCATCACAGCTACAGTCTCACGCCACGATTATCCCAGTCACAAACGTGGTGGCAATGTAAAATGCTCAACCCCGAACCTTAAACCATACCTGGACCCCAAAAGTATGTAGAACAAACGGCTTTTTATAGGTTTTGGGCCATCATTTGCCTACTTTGGGGGGTCTAGGTAATCCCAAACCTGTCCGTCAGCCTTACTTAAACAACACGGAGGCATGCCTGCGCCTATCGCGCCCCGGCTGTCTCCGGTGAGGCTTTGATCACGCCGGTCAGGTTAGGGTCTATAACTTAGATCCCCAATAGTTAACCTTTAAACTTGTTGGGTTCTTTTTTAGTTTAGTAGGAAACGGAAAGTTTAACCTTCTATTTCCGTGGCTTATTGGGGGTAGCAAGATAAGACCTATGTAGGATTGATGTGGGTGGTTGTCAAAAATGTGGTCCCTTTTTGGGTCCCTTTCATAATACGGCACCTAATATTTAGGTTACCCAAAAAGGGACCCTAATTTTGACAACCACCCATGTAGTGTTTAGGGTTTAGGCTTACCTGACTGAGTCGGAGGACGAACAGAGTGTCAAATGAAGCGAAGCAGTAACTTAGGGGTACAAATAATTTTTATTTTTTGGTTATTATAATCCTTAAGACACAGCTGAAATTAAATTTTTTGCTCGGGTTCTAAGTTCAGTATAAGTAGTTTCGATAGTAGCAACAGTAACAGCAGTAGTAGTCTTGACAATGTCAGTTTACTTTAGCAAGCCATGCAGATAATGCACCCTAAATCCGAAATCCTACACCCCTCTACCCCTCAACCCCTCAACACCTAAACCCCAAACCCCTCAACTTTCAACCCTAAACCCCTAAACCCCTAAACCCCAAAAGCCTCAAAAGGCCCAAAATGCCGAAACCACTGAGGCGACCTAGCCAGGGCCCTCCGCCCGGGCCAGCGTCTGCCGCTGTCCCTGCGCGGCGCGCGGCGAGGCACTCGCTGGGTTTAGGTCGTCTAAGTCGGGCTTAGGGGATTTAGGGGTGGAGGGGTTCAAGGATTTGGGGATTTAGGGGTTTATAAGGGGTCTGGGGGTTCGGGGTTGAGGGGTTTGAGGGGTTGAGGGGATTTTCCCAAAGGGACCAAAGTACCTTTATAGTAGAATGTCGGGCTTCGACACTAGGAATTACTATTATGATTTGGGGAAGTATCCCCCCATAACGGTACTCTGGATCCTTTGGGTTAGGGCTAGGGGTTGAGGGGTTCAAGGATTTGGGGATTTAGGGGTTAAGGGGTTTATAAGGGGTCTGGGGGTTCGGGGTTCGGGGTTGAGGGGTTTGAGGGGTTGAGGGGCAAAGGGTCGTAACGGTTGTGGTGTGGCCGTTGCATGTTTGAAGATCTGGATCAGGGGGATTTACAGTAGGATTTAAAACTTTCAGGTCCACGGTGTTTTACATATTGACGCTTATAGAGTAAGCATGCGCATAAGCAAATTTCTGTGTCCCCCGGTTTTGTCTCGAGTGTTGGGGTTCTCTTTAGGGTGCCCGCCATTCCAACACTCTACGCGAGCCCTAAGCCCCAAACCCCAAGAGCCGGAAGGCCTGAGCCCTACCCACCCAAACCCCCTTGAAAGCCTTCTTACCCTAGACCCCCCAAAAAAGTCGGCAAAAATAATGGCCCAACCTATAAAAGGCCATTCTGCTACATAATTTTTTGGGGGGTCCAGGACCGCACCCCGATGTCCACCAAGCCGAAGTTCGTCCGCAAAGCCCTCCTTTGCGGGCTCCCGGGGGCCGAGGGTTGCGGCGTTCATGGTTCATGTGTATGCTTCACAGGCTTGAAAGCTCGAATCCCTATCGTCAGAGCCCCTACCTATAGACCCCCCAAAGTAGCTAAAATCATGGCCCAAAACCTATAACAGGCTATTATTCTGCACACTTTTGGGGTCCAGGTAGAACAATCCAAATCCTAAACCCTAAACCCTAAATCCAGGGAGGGGGTCTCCTCGTACAGGATGCAATGCTTGAGCAGGTTTGGGTTCTGCTGGGCTCGGACGTAATTATTCTAAACCTCCTTGGGTGTGGGTTATAGGGGCCCAGAGCCTGCAAACGGAATGTCTTAAAACCACGGCTGCGTTCACAGAGTGTAGCTAGACCCTCAAAAGTAGGCAAAATAATGGCCCAAAACCTATAAAAGGCTATTATTCTACATGCTATTGGGGTCCAGGTAAGCCCAAAGCCTTGTCCTCAAACTACTGATAAGTTCTAAGCCCTGAAAGCACTAAGCCCGCAACCACTGTACTTGAGTGCACCTAAGTAAACCCCTAAGCCCCTTAGCCCTAAATCCTAAACCCTTGAAACCTCTAGCCCCAAACCCTACACCCCGAAATCACTGAGCCCTGGAAAGGGAGGTTTTTTATAGGATCCCTCCAAGCGGTCCATTTAAGGGTTCCTTTATGGGTTTAGGGTTCCTATAAGGGCTTCGGATTTCTATAAGACCTGCCTGCGCAGTTTTGGGTCGGCGTGAGCTCCTGCTGGAAGCGCTGAGGATGGACCCAACCAAGCTTTAGGGTCCAGGGTTTAGGGTTTGGGTATCTTTTTGGGAAGGTCAGGGGTTTAGGGTGCGTGTGTTGCTTGGGAGCTTGTAGCTTTACTCTTTACTTGAGACTGTTGGGCTTTGGGTTTGGAAGTTTGATCCCTAATGACCAATACGCAATTACATCTTTCTCGAGACTGGAAACAGGTGTTTGACTCCATTCGTCACGCCGCCATGTTGGAAGCTTTAACACGTTTTCGACTATCCGACAGGCATGGAGAGGAAGTTGCAGAAGGTCAGGTCGAGGCGGGGATTAGACAAGGATACTCGTCAAGCCCCTACTTCGTTGCATTCTGGTGCTTGCAGTCATGCTAGATGATACAGACCACACCTTCCAAACAACAGGCGATAGACACTACTACGAGAAGACGCTTCCCTCAAACTGCGGACCACACTGCATCTAACGGCAACCCCATGATCCATATAGTATGCAATATAGGGTAGAGTAATTGCACTGCTGGTGGGAGATCCCTCTTTTCAGCTGGCGTTTGAGCGCGCAAAACAAGTGAGGCCCTAGCGGCGAAAGAAACCCTGAAACCTTCAAGAACGGACCACCAGAATACAGCCTAATGCCCAGAACCTAAACCCCCAAGCCCTAACTCCCATACCGCCCTCCTGCCATAATCCCTTAAACCCTAAATCCCATACAGCCCTAAAGCCATGAACCCCCCTAAACCCTAACTCCCATACAGCCCTGAAGCCATAAACCCCCTAAGCCCTAAATCCCAAGCAGCCAGGATCGATCCGAGCTTTGTGGAAGCCTATACCATGCTCGCCGAAGCATTGGGTCCCGAGGCCAGGCCGTCGGAAGAGGGGGCGGGGGGGCTCAGATTTAGGGTTTTAGGCAAGCTTCAGGAGAGGGGGGGAGGACGTTGAGCTTTAGGATTTTGGGAATTGCCCGATTTGTCATGTCGTTCAGGCCAACTCGTTTGTCATTGCCGCGTACACGCTGACGGCCCTGTCTGACCTCCAGCTCTCTTACCCTTTTTCCCATCTCGGGCTGACTCAGGAGACCGTTGTCCTACCGGATGGGCGGGCTTGCGACAAGACGGACCTCCTGGCCACACACTCAGCGAGCAGTAGCCTTGCGGCTGCAGCCGCATCGTCTCTGGATGTTTTTTGTGCAGAGTTTGTGGGATTTCAGCCAAATGCATGCAAACATAGCCCGTGCCTACCCATGCACATGCGTGCTCTTGCCTCTCTGCCGGGATCTTGATGCAACTGCAAAAGTGGGCAGATCAGCACACAAAGGACATCAGGCTTTGCGGGTAGAATTCATGTAGACATGCAACGAGGCATGTAAAATCATGTAAAATCATATATATATATATATATATATATATATATATGGGTGGTTGTCAAAACTAGGGCTTTTTGGGTCCCTGTTATAATACGGCACCTGTTATTTAGGGTACCCGAAATGGGACCCTAATTTTGACAACCACCTATATATATATATATATACGCACAGATGCATCCGCATGATATTTTGTAGATACATCTTTGCATATCATGTTCGTATGAACAGAGTTGTTGAGCGTGGTGATGCAGAGATGCAAGGTGTGCGGAGATTGCCACACACACACACACACACAACGGCATCGAAAGACAGAGAGAGAGAGAGAGATAAAGAGAGACATACGTCGCAGCAATTACGGTTGCTATTGAAACATACGTCGAGTCTGGAGTATGAACACAAGTTCCATCTGTCGACGATCTACGTGTTCGCACTCAAGATCTCTTGCTCAAAACACGAGGTAGCCTCAACCCAAGCTTTTGTAATTTACAGAGCCCTATACTCGAATCCCTGAGCTCCAAATCCTGCTTCAACCAGCGGATGCGAATGCCTGGTTTAGCGTTGAGATAGACGCAAAGCATCAACAACCTTAAATCCTCGTACTAGACTACCCAACACCCCCACAAGACCCGATACCTAAACCCTGAACCCTAAGCCCAAAACCCCGAAGTCCTAAGCCGCCATGGCCACGACGAGTGATCTGAGTGCGCCCTTTGCTGCCGAGAGCCTGTCGCAGCGTCTGAGTCGACTATCCGAGGCATTCTGGGTGAATTCCTTTGAAAATTTAAAGGGTTTTATAGGGTTTTAGAGGGTTTTGAAGGGTTTGAAAGGTTTGAAAGGTTTGAGGGGTTTGAGGGGTGTAGGGTTCGTTCGAAGTGTTCAGGCCTCTAGGATGGAAGGTTTTATGGGGTTTGAAGGGATTGAGGGGTTGTGGGGTGTAGGGTTCGAAGTGTTTAGGCCTTTAGGATTGAAGGTTTGATGGGGGTTTGGGGATTTTATGCGGCTTGGAGGGTTTGAGGGGTTGAGGCTTTTGTGCAGCTTTAAACATGTCACGGCCCGATCTAGGGTACTACAATGACAACCCCAAAGCAGAGACGGGCAGATCTGACTACAAGAAACTACGACGATCGCTCATGGTTGCTGACTTTTGCGCTTGTTTGGCGACGTTTCTGTGCCGTTTTCCATCCCTGCGGTCCATGCCCAGACCCCCGGGAGGATCTGGAAAGTAGATCCCCTAATTGGGGGGGCCCTATACTGCTAAGCGTACTCTATAGGAACCCCTATGAAGGGATCTACTTTTTGGGATCCTCCCGGGGGTCTGGCTACTCTTTGTCTCTCCTGTCGGCTACCATTGTCACTGCAACTGCTGGCTGCATGTGTCTCTGCTGTTCGTGTCAGCTTGGGGACCATGACGACCGTGATGGTGATATGTCGAAGGTGATCATTGTGATTGGGGCGGCGACAGAGTCCGGAATTCTAACTCTGTTTTGTTGACATAAGCTTGCATTCTTAGCCGGAGGTTTTTTAGTGAGAAGCTTGCAGCAGCTACTGGCTTCCTTGTCTTAGGCACGACAGCTTCACTGTCGCCCTGGAGCTTTCTTGATCTCGGACGTAGTGGGTGTCTGAAACCCCCTGTAAACCCCACACCCTGAAAAGCCGTGTGCTTTTTCTTCGGGCGTACACGTATGCTAGTTGGGAGCCACACGGCAGACATACAACGAGACCGTCACCCCAACAGAAAAAAGAAGCCCCCAACCCAAGAACCCCAAGCCCCGAAACATGAAAAAACCCAAACCCTACTACCCTAAACCCCGTTTCATGAAAAGCCCTAATGTAGGAACCTGATTAAGAAACCCTGGGCCTATAACCCCAGCATAGAGGTGGCAGCTGCCGAGGGCCTGGAGGCGGACGTCTACGGCCGTGGCGCAGGGCTGCAAGCCTTTGAAGTCGAGGAACCTCAGCTGATGGTGGAGACTTGTAGGATTTAGGGCTTAGGGTATTAGGGCTTATTGGGCTTATTGGGGTTTAGGGTTTAGGTTGTACATTGAAGTCGAGGACCTCAGCTGCGTTTTGGAGCCTCTTAGCATGTAAGGCTTGCCCAGTACCACCCTTATTCCCTTTTTGTAGTCCTAGGTTTCTTTGTAAAGTTCCCCAACACCATCAAGGGAGCCCTTTCTTTCCTAGTTTAGTGGGCATCTTAGCTATGGTTTATTAAATTATTAGGATTCAATGTTTGTTAGGGTTTATTCAGGTCTAGTCTATTAGGGTCGATTAGGCGGGTTTTAGGGTTTGGGGCTCAGGGTCACGTTTACAGGGCCGAGTCCCTGATTGTGTGGTTTTTAGTTCAGCTCTAGGCTTCGATTGTACAGGTTGTGCTTGTTCCGGGCAGGTGTTTAGGATTCCAGGTTTTGCGGTTTTGTATGCGGTGCGGCAGAAGCATTGAACATAGTATTCGGACCTTTGCATCCTACTACCCTCTAAGCGCTAAGCCCCAAAGCAAGCTACAACAAAGCCCTCTAGCCCTCAAGCTATCATGACCTTAACCTGGCTATCGAGCTCTCGAAATTTGTTGACGTGGTTTTGCGCGTTGTCTACCTGTCCGTCCGTCCATCCATCCATCTATCCATCCATCAGTGAAAATCCTTTTCGTGTATCCACCTACCTATCCGTCTATCTATCCATCCAACCTTCTATCTATCGATCGGTCGGTCTATCTATCTCTATCCATATCTAGCTGTCGATCTTTCTATGTATTCGTCTGCCTAAGTATCGATCGGTCTAGCGATCGGCCGATCAATCTATCGATCGAGTTGTCTATACTATTCATCGAGCTGTCGAGCTTCTCATCTGTCGATCTATCGATGGATCGAGCTGTCTATTTCTTTGACGGAGGTCGCGGTTTTTAGGTGGCGTCTGCTGGGCGTACAACAACTACATAAAGGCTCATTGGACTTAGTAACAGTAACCAGGGTTATAACTAAGGTAACTATAGTTATAAATTACTTACAACCCCAATTAAGGTGCTTATAACCTCGCTTACTAAGTCCCATGATCCTCCAAGTACACCCTAAACCCTAAACCCTATAGATCCCTTTAAGGAGCCCCATAGATCCCTTTAAGGATCCCTTACTTACTAAGTCCCATGATCCTCCAAGTAGGTAACTAAGGATCCATGTGTCGGGTGTCCCCTAAGGCTACGGTTGATGACAAAAGTCCTGCATCACCTTAAGGACCCTAAAGTATGGGAATTATGGTATATTCCTTATTATGGGGCATCACCTTAAGGACCCGAAAGTATAGGAATTATGATAAATTCCTTTTTATGGGTCATGCAGGATTTATATCATCAACCGTATGGTTACTTTGGGACATTCCCTTATGATTGTATCTGTCGAGATGCCCATCCATCTATCCTTCTGACCGCTGATCCTTGAATCTCACCACTAGTTGCATTCCGGCGCTTGGAGCCCCGACACCCCCACAAGTGAATCCTCCAAAAAGCAGCTCCCGCCAACCGAAGAGCTCACCCTGGTGTTCGTCTTCACATGCGAGCACTGAGGAAGTCGTGGTGATGTACTCAAATTGTATATACTTCGGCCCAAAACTACCTATATAGGCACTACGTTAAGGCCAGTGTATAGACCATATGGGCACATGGACCTTCAGGGTGAGGTGAGGGTTCGTTTGAAACTGACGCCTCAAGTGCCCGAGAGTCGCTAACCCTGAACCCCCAAACCCTTTAACCCTAAACTCCCAAATCCCCCCTAAACTTGCGTAGAACCCCAAAACCGTGAAGCCAAAGCCTAGGCTTGAAAACCATGTTCCCCTGATCCCTAGACCTTGCAACCCTAAGCCCTCCAACCCTTGATGATTGGAGGCCAAAAGGGGGGTTTACGATTCTTGGGGTAGGGAACCCTTAATATGAACCCCCCTACTAAACCCCCAGACCCTAAACCCCACAAATAGGGGTTTCAGGGTTTTAGGGTTTGGAGTTTGGGGTTTGGGGGTTTGAGGTAGCCTTCAAGCAGCCGAGGTGGCCGAGATACTTGGGAAACAGGCTGGGTCGGATATCATGCTTCGAGGCCCAGGGAACTTAGTAAGCAGGTTATAAGTAGGGTTATAAGTACCCTAAATGGAGTTACCCCAATTATAGCAAGACTTATTACCTACTTACTAAGTCTCCTGGGCCTCTAAGTGGGTTTTTGTTGTGCTTTCCACTTTGAGGCTTCCGGGGTTTTCGGCCTAAGGATTTGGAGGTTCCGGTTTTTGTTTTAGTGCCTAGGGTTGATTTAGGGTTTAAGGTTTAGATTTAGGGTTTAGGGCTGAAGGTTGTTTTTTTTGTCTTTCGAGATGCTCATAAGCATGCTGTGCTTGCCTCGGTGGTTCAAACGCATGACTGCAATGTCGAGCAGCAGCCGTACGGCCTTGCACCGTCCGTCCTACCCCAAGGCACCAAGAAACCATGAACCCAAATCCCAAGCCCCAAAACCTTAAAACTCAAGCAGTAAAGTCCCTGTAGAGTTTGAAAACTCGTGAAGACTCGGAAGCCCTGAGGCAGGACTTTTCTTCCCCACGGGCACACTTGCCCAGCGTGCAGCGCTGCATGCCCACTTCCAGCAGCTGGAGTCTCGGCGAAAGCTTGGCTTTCTTTCCAGGGCCATAGGAATCATGACCTCAACCCTCGATGCACCGAAGCCTAAACCTAATGAACTCCTCCCCCCAGACCCTAAAGCCCGAAACCCCAACACCCTAAACCCCTTAGA